ATACATAAGAATAGCTATGATAAGGGCAAAACAAACACCATATATCTCTCAGTTCAAGTCCGAGAATAACCAGAATGCGAGAACTTACGATTTTATTATTTTCGTGTGAACATCAATTCAAGCTTAGAGCAGGTAATTTCCTAGGTAGGAAGAGTAGGAACATGAAGTTGTAAAATAAAGCCTTTTGGACAACTAAATAATGGCGGTATAGCCAATTCAATACGTTACCTGTCATTTAATGTACAAAAACTGGGCTTCACTTTTACTTTCATAGTAGAATGGTGCGTTCCTACTCCTGATGTCCGTAGGATAGCGCTTTACCTGGTCCAAGAATTTAAGCAATTAATGTCCCTTTTGACTGCTAGTTTTTCAGGCCAAAGTACTATACAAATTCGAGGACAAACAACAAATTCATCAGGCATCGATTCCACTTCTTCTTTTCTGTCGCCATTCGAAAATTTTCACTCCAAAAATGAAGATGTCAATAGTTACAGGCAACGTTTTAAAAATTATCTGAAGGTCAAGAATGGTTTTGATAATAGAAAAGCACTTATGCAAGAAAAATTTCATGGTTTCTAAACGAATATAGGTTTTTATCAACTTACCAGTGGAAATTAATTCATTTCCGAGAGTTTGACTACGTTAAAGGGGGTGTGATCCTTAAAAACGACTTAAGCTACTTCAATCAAGAAAAAAATCCAAGATCTCTTGTGAAAACCGCAGTCCTATATTCAAAATAGTCTCCGAGAAAATTCCTTATGAAGATAAATTATGCAGGAACTTGTGTCGTGATCGCAGTCTTCTGTTCGTTCAGTTGTCAGTGAACCGTACCCTATATTTTGAGTGGTTGCAATTCGCTTTAGTGAGATAATTGTCTTTTGTTCTGAAAAATTTGACATGTATTCATGTTAATACTGTGTCTAATAATTCGGTGTGACATCACACACACCTAGTTGTAACTTTAAACCGCCCTAACTCGAAAACGGACCATTGTAGCAAGATGCGGTTTAAATATTTATTCTTAGATTTTTTTGCACTAAAACTTTCATTTTTGGGTCACACCTCTTTTGAGACGTGATACTTTAGTCTGCTATTTCATCTTGCCATGTACCCGGTGATTGTCTATATTTTGCACCCACATCTATCTCACCTGTATGAAAAGATACCCAGAAATGTCAAATGTAAAAGTTGTAAGTAATATCTAAAAGTTTTGAATGATGTTAGTTACAAGTATACAGGGTGTGTCACAAAAGTTGGGCGAAGCAAAGTTATACTTTTTTAAATGGAAAACTCCATATATTATTGTCCCATTGGATTAGCCTTTCAAACCTAATTCCAAATATACTAGGTTTTTTAGGTTTATTTCTCATAGTCCAGCCTCTGAATATCCCATTTTGAAGAAATATTATGGATTTTTGATATGAATGATTAACTTTATATTTTGCTGGTGGTCTCTAGTTCACCTTTTTCAATAAAAAATGCAATTTTATTATTACATCCCTTTTTGTCCTATTTTCTCCTGGACTATAAGGAATAAACCTAAAAAAATAAAGTATATTTGAAATCAGGTTTGAAAGGCTAATCCAATAGAACAATAATATATGGGGTTTTCGATTTAAAAAAATATAACTTTGCTTCACCACACTTTTGTGACACATCCTGTATACTTGTAACTAACATCATTCAAAACTTTCTGATATTACCTACAACTTTCACATTTGAAATTTCTGGGTATTTCTTCAAACAGGTGAGATAGGTGTGGGTGCAAAATAATCAAAATATAGACAATCACCTGGTACATATACCCTTTTATTAATAAATTATCATTATTATTATTATTATTATTATATGCATCCTACCAGTGGCAACCTATGGCCTAGAAACTATGTCATTGATAAAGAAACGAGCTGATAGCTTGGAGTAATGCAGAGAGCTATGGAACGGGCAATGCTTGGTCTAAGTTTTAGGGATAAAATCAGAAATGAAGAACTCCAACAAAGAACTGAAGTCGTAGATATAATAGAACATAATGCAGAGCCCAAAATTGAAATGGGTAGGACATCAACATCACGTATCAAGGTTGATACAATGGAAACCAAAACTGTTAAAACGTGGTGTGTGGTGTGGGAAGCAGGAAGCAGGTAGTCCAGTTAGCACAAGTGTAACATTTGAAATGTCACAAGAACATATTTAATTGTTCTTAATTAATTTCATATATTAAGAACTCATTTAAAATTTAAATGCTAGCGCGTTCCTACTCCTTATGTCTTTACCTGCTCTAAGTTTAAAATACTATTCCGTACACCTGGCGACATCTATGATTTTTCTGAATAGTTTCCTAACCTAATAACGAAAATTATGTTATTGAGAGATGCGTTCGGCTTGCTCACTCCGTACACTTCGAGTGACTTCATTCGCTCCTCTGGTACTGTTTTTTACCATATTAGGGTTAGTTTTATTCACTCCACTCCAACTCCGAACCTAACTAGGGTTATTTTTTTGAAAACCGGTAGCGCTGTCATTTTTATAATTTCGACAGGAGGAAGAAAGACAGAACCACAGGGGTACTTTGGACTTTTCTTTTCGATTTTATAGTTAAGACTAAAAAGGTCGTCTCTGGAGAAATCCAAAAACTTTGGTTTTCATTCTTGGCCATCGAGCCCAAAATTATATTAATTTAACTAGCCAGAGAAGTGAGTAGTTGTGCCAGCTGGAATGTTTCCTGAAAAATCAATAGATTGTTGATTTTTGTGTAAATTTCTGAAACTGAGGTTATTATCGGCCGTTGAGGTATGTAAACCCTTTTTCCCTTTGATAAATGAGTCCCTATATTTCTTTATTCCGTTCAGGCAATTTGGGAGGGTATTAAAAATCCACGCCTGCACTTCTGGGTGAAAATTTGACGAATTTGAGACCATGCGGTACTGCATTTCCAAAGCAAGTCTGGGCCCCCTCTACAAGGAAAGTTGTGTCATATAAGAGATTGATCCCCGACCATTGGATGATTGCCTTCCGTCAGTTTGGTGCTTCTGGATCTCAAATTCGTGAAGATTTCCACGGATTTCGTCCAGGCTTGTATAATTACTTACCTAGGGGTACCGTTTATGTGCCTTATTAATTACAGTTTCTTGATAATATCTATTTTCTACCGCTCCCTGTCGATTACCTTTATTAGCTAATTATTATCTTTATAATATTAATTACTGTTAATTATTATTATCTATTCCTTATCGCTTACTATCGATTAGCTTAATTAGCTAATTCATAACTGTATAAAATCAATTACCGACTCATTTACCGTATTTGTAGTATTTAGTTAGAATAGCTAACTACAAATTAAATATAATTATCCATTCAATTAATTATTCATTATCATAATTAGATTTTTACTTTTATTATTGTTTTCTCAATAATTATTTATTTTCAATAAATTATGCATTATTACAATTATTATAAATTTTGTTTCCTCTATATCGAGTATTGATCGATATAATATGGGTGGGTTCATTAATCTTTAAAAGGTTGATTTAACTTCTGATTTCAAATCAATAATGTGGTAGTTTTACAAGGGTTACTAATGTAAAATCTTTAGGTAGTCAAATTTAAGTTTTATGGTTACCTATTTGAACTTTAAAGGTAAGAAGGTAAGAGCTCTTCCGGAAACCGTGAAGCCTTGATTTCACGTAGCAGGTTTTTGGTATTTATAACTGCCTAAGGATTATTTATTACCTTTCTGCATTGAATAAATTGTTTTCTATTGATTTGATTGACTTTGAGTCAAAAATTAAAGGTTAATGATATTGTGACTCCATCATTTGTACTTAGGAAAATTTCATAGTAGGTATCTATTAATTGTTTTTGAATTTCAATCCTACTATACTTATTTAAATTAGGTTTTGCTTTTAGAAAGCTGCTTAATGATTTTTTTTTTAAAAAAAACTTTGATACTAGACAATATTTTTCTTAGAACCATAGAAAAAAGTTCGCCATATTGTCACAAATTTTAATGACATCTAATTAATAAATAATTGTGTTTAGAATTCCAAAGCTTGTGTTTTTATTGAATGGGTTAAATGTCAGATAGCAATTGGATTTTGGATTTACTTTACCTTTTCAGATTTTTTTGAATTTATCTTTTTAAACAATAACTAATTAATGGAATAGTGCCTAGTTTGGCTATTCCTTGGTAATCAAAATTATTTATACAAACTAGTGGCGCCCTCTCTCTACTGTACCAACATCAAGGACCACCCCATGCTAAACAACCACTGAGCAATAGTCGAGCACAGATTATGAACATTCTTTTGTTTCGACAAAAGAGCGTTACACAAGACAGGAAAGCGTGAGGATGCATAAAAAAGGCCTAGGTTCAGGACTGGAAAACAGATGGCTGAGGAAGAAGATTTCTCCATCAAGGCTAATAGAGATCATTGTTCCCTCCAAATTTATACAGGCATAAACTAACTCTAATTTTGAGTGCGGTAGATGTTACTCTATTGAAGTAAATGCAAAAATATTTAAAATGACTATCTTCATAACAGAACAAAACTCCTATTTTACATGCAGACATCATAATCAATAAAATTATCACAACTTTCTTCCAAAGCTCTAATTTCCAAGAGGTATAATGATTAAGCCTAATTTTGGTGTTCCTAATATTGGTGTACTCTGCATTATGCCTTTTAAATATTAAAACTTATGCGTCAGTAAATTGATGCTACAAAGTAAATACTTAACCAACTGATTCCCATTACCAACATTATCACAAATAGATCTAAAAAACAAGACTTAATAATATTAAGTTTGGTGCACTCCATCTCATTAATATACATTTAGAAGTTTAAAATTATTTTTTTGTTTCAGACATCTATTCGCTCTTATCACCACCTGATAGAACTATAACTAATATAACTTGAAACATTCAACAAATACCAATTTTCCTCTATACCTAATAAATAAATAAAAACAATACAAATGACAACTCTCCCATTTATTTACACATAAACAGATACAAAATAAAAGCTACTTTAAACTAAAAATCAAACACCAGGAACAAATCACACCAGGAACAAATCACAAAAGCGAACTCCAACATGAACTGCCAGCCATGCGCAGGTTGACTTACCGATCCGTTCATTTTCAGCAGCTCTAGTTATGTACTGGTGCTGCCGCCTGGCGTTCAATCTCTTCCAAACGTGCCAAATTGGCCGTGCTAGGAAGATCGCCGACGCGAGCACGCTCTAACAAATCAGGCGAGAACCAGCGAGTTAACTGGTCAGCTGTAGAGGGAGAGAGAGCCCCAGATTGTTGGCTTCGATGACCGGCTTGGCGAGAATCTGAAAGAAAAATCAATTAATGTAAGTAAGATAAAGGAATAATGGCAAAAATAATTTCATATTATGCAGTTGATACTGTTATTATTTTCTGTGGTAAGACTTGGAAAGAGGGTGGATCTAGAATTGTAGATAGGTTACGTTACAGAGCGTCAAGACAACTAACTCATCTACTTTTTAATAGTAAAATTATTAACTTGAGAAATATACCAAATTGTCATAGCGAATTCTACAAAAAAATATGTGGAGTTTTTCATTTTTTTGACCATAGCTTAATAAATATTCCTAAAGTAAAAGCATTAAGATTCATGTGATAATACTTACTTTGTTGGGCTGCCGAATTAAAGAACTGTTGCCACAAGGGATTCGTCTGCTGTTGCTGTAGCCCTTGCTGCTGAAACCCCATTGGCTGCTTTTGCGTCGTCGTTGCCGCCTGCGGAGGCGGTCCTTGAGGCTGTTGCACTTGCGGCTGCGGCTGCACGGCCGGACCCACCGGAGTGGCTTGCGGCTGTACGGTAGTGGTAGGCCTGTGTTGGTGTTGCGCCCTTAACTGTTGCGCCGTGGGCTGTGAAGGGAAGGACTGAGGATTAGGATGGGAATATTGTTGTTGAGATTGCCCGTATTGGGATGCTGAAATGATTTATTTTGCTATTATCTGGACAATACTTTTGTGCTGATAAGTTTTAGAGAAAATCTTGATTCAAACCTTGCTGTTGTTGATATTGCTGTCCAATAATCGGCTTGCGGTGGGGCGCAGTTGGGACTGCCTGGTAAGTGCGCTGCTGGGGCAACGGTTGCTGTTGAGCAGCTAGTTGAGCGAAGAATTGATCAGGTGTTTGTGATTGATAGTTATTTGCTTTTACTATCGGGCGGCCGGCTGCAAGAAAAAAGAATATTATGTAGTAATAATTTATTTGATAGAGTCTCTTAATTGGAGCCAGTGGCGACTCGTGGGTTAGTAACCAGGGGGGACATTTTGGTTCACAATACGGAACTTGCATCATTTTTTTTTTTTTTATCGCTGATGATTTCGTTAGTGGATAAAAAATAAGTCCACACGAGTTTTTTCTTTTTCTTCTTAGTCAAAAATTGACGGAGATACAACGCTATAAAATATGCCTATGACGTTACTTATCATATAAATTAGTGACGTCGCACATGCTCAGTATATCTATATATACAAAACCTAATATTTGTATAAGTTTCGGAAAAATCATTTTGGACAAAATGAAAAAATACGCATCGATTTTTTTTTGAATTCCTATAATTTCCGAAAAACAATAATCAATTCAATTTTTCAAGTTCCCTATTGTTACTTTTTTTTTAAACAAATTATTAGGGTGTTCTGCACTATGATGAAATAGAACTGAAGTCTATTTTACTGGACTACTAGATTTTACTATGCGCACAGCGCGCCGTTGAAGCGAAACACAGCGGGCCGTCGACCATATTAGTGATATAGGACTCAAGGTGACTCTCACACCCGCTCACGAAATTCGTAATCTGTTGTCTCTGTTCTTTTCACATGCTTTTTGCCATAAACCACTTGCACTGTGCAGGGTCATTTTAAGTTACGGCCCAGTTCCCGATTAGCGCGCAGACGCGGTAGGATTATTTATTAAAATTATTTCTAATATTGCAGCAAATATAGCCTGCTCAGAATTTTATGATACAAAATTATTTTTAATAAAATTATGATATTGATTAGAATATTTTAGGAGGTCATTGACCCATTGACCCTGATAAGAAGCCGCCACTGGTTGGAGCGACGGGGACACATAACAGAGCCAGTAAAACTTTTGAAGATTATGCAGATAATTCGTTATATTATTGGTGTCGGAATACGAAATTACACTGCTGCCTCGTCTTGAGCGAGCCGCTTTTCAAAAAATATATGTATACAGGGAGTTCCACTGGGAACCAAATCGATCTATACAGGGTGGGACCGAAATAAGTGCGCATTTTGTTATGATAGCTAGTACAGTAGGACAATCCCTTTGTGCATAGGTACAGGGTGAGTCACCATATTTTGACACCCAACTGCAGCCGTAATTACAGGTGATAGGTAAAATGTGTAAATACAAAAGTTGTAGTATTTTATCTGAACCACCAGAATTTTTGATTAGATTGAACAATGAGCAACGCAAAGTGAAAAAACATGTCGATGTTCACTCTTTTCAAATGGAAGGCCCTTTATTTTCTATCAAATTCTTAAAGTTCTCGTTTTTCTGATGCAGATTATATGATATGTTGATGTTTCTTTCAATAGATATCTGGAGTTCAGTTATTCAAAGAGAGTAGTTTTTTTGAATATATATTTACCTGTTACTTGTTACAAAACATTCTGATACGTGAATAGGTCTTTGGATAACTGTGGGGATTTTAGAGTTCCTTCGATAGAGTGGACCAGATAGACCTTGGGTGGTTTTAATAAAACTCGAACGCGGTTAGTTTTTAATCGTTTTAATTCCAACTCAAAACACTTTTACTACCGCAAATAAACGGATTAGCAAAGACGAACAGTACAATATTATGATTAAATTAATTATAGCAATTAACAGTGTTGGTTTTTTAACCACGTGGAGGAAGTGCATTGACACGGAACTTGTTGCGCTGAGTGTGTGAAACTGGATGATACTGGAATCGAATCTTCCAGACCGAAACTGTCATTAAAAATGTTGGGTTATATTCATTTGTCTATTTTTTGAGGGGCGTTCGATAACATGGGGCGTTCGATAACATAGGGCGTGTTGTGAACCGTCGATGACGTGCAATAAATGACTTGAGTTATTAAAGAAATCTAAACATCCTCCCCCCCAGTTGAAGTCTCGCCTTCAACTTAATCAAAAGGCAAGGGAGCCAATTTTGTAATAGGCCTAACAAAACAGCCGGTTTGTGTTCTCACCTCGGCCACTCTAACCTTGCCATCTGGACCAGTCATTACCCTCTGAATCCGACCCAGCATCCAGTCCAGAGGGGTTGTGTTATCTTCTTTCAGTAACACCATCATGTCGACCTTTAAATTGGATGCGGGTTTGATCCATTTGGGCTTATGTTGTAACCTGTTCAGATATTCTGTAGAATATCTCTTCCAAAAAAGTGACCTAATTTTGGAACATTGTTCCCAAAACGAAAGTCGATTGTCAGGGACTGAAGACACATCCTTTTCAGGAAAAGATGTAAGAGGTTGACCTATTATAAAGTGACCAGGTGTAAGGCATGTGAGGTCAGACGAGTCAGTTGAAGCAGGACATAGAGGTCGAGAGTTGAGAATGCTTTCTATTTGAGCTAAGACCGTAGTCAATTGCTCGAATGTTAATATTGTTTTACCAATAATTCTCCGCAGATGAAATTTGGTTGATTTTATGCCTGCCTCCCAAAGTCCACCCCAGTGAGGGCTTGAAGGCGGAATAAACTTCCACTGAACTTCCTCGGATGACAGGTTGTCGGTGATTATATTTAAATTTGTCGGAGATTTGAAAAAATTATAAACTTCGTGAAGTGAGTTATGGGCTCCATGAAAATTTGTGGCGTTGTCGCTAAATATTACAGCTGGTTTCCCTCGTCTAGCGACGAACCTCTTCAAAGTGAGTAAAAAGGCATCTGATGATAAACTTGAAACAAGTTCAAGATGAACGGCTTTTGTGTTCATACACACGAAAAGTGCTATGTATGCTTTTGATAAGGGAGATTTTCTTAAACGAGATTCCTTCACCATCAAAGGTCCACCAAAGTCAACACCGACATTCAGGAAAGGTCTGACTGTAGCAACACGTTCGGGTGGAAGAGATCCCATAAGCTGTTCCGACTTGGTTTTACGAAGTCTAAAACATATTATGCAAGCGTGGATGTGCTTTTTGATTTGTCCCAGAGCGTTCAGCGGCCAATATCTCAGCCTCAAGTTTGCAAGTACGCTTTGAGCACCCGCATGATGCAGTTTAATGTGCTCATGTTGAATGATCAACCCAGTAACGTGCACCTTGGCAGGTAGTAACATGGGATGTTTTTGCTCAAATGGAATAGGGGCGTTATGAAGCCTTCCTCCTACCCTTATTATACCATCGTGATCTAAAAATGGAGACAGACGCTGAATTGAACTATTCTTCAAAGGAATTTTATTTTCGAGTTGTTCTATTTCAGATGCAAAGCATTCAGCTTGAATACATTTAATAATTGCGTTAAGGGACCTTTGCAGCTCTGCTACAGTCAATGGGCCTGAGAGTTTAATCGAGTCGTTCTTGCAATTATTAACAAATCTTAAAACGAAGGCTATTGTTCTCTGCAATCTTGTTAATTTCGAGAATCTTTTAAAGTTTAGAGAAAATTCAGGTATTGCGACATATGAGACCGTTCTTTGTTCAGGAGGAGATCGTATTTCAGAGAAAGAGAGCGCATTTTGAACAATAAAGTTAGGGTCAGACAAAAAGGATGGGCCATGCCACCACAAATCGCTCCTGAGTAATGTGGATGAGTCTGTACCTCGAGAAATCAAGTCTGCAGGATTGGATTTGGAGTCGATGTGACGCCATTGAGAAATTGAGCTAAGTTCGTGAATCTCTGAGACTCGATTTGCAACAAAAACTGTCCATCTAGATGGAGTGTCATTCAACCAGCTGAGAACAATTTCAGAATCAGTCCAAAGCGCAATTTTTGAAAATGAGTAAGAGAAGACTGATTTCATTCTGTGAACAAGTTTAGCCAATAAAACAGCTCCGCAAAGTTCAAGGCGAGCAACTGAGACTGTCTTTAAGGGAGCTACCCTTGATTTCGAGCAAATGAGACGAGAAGAAACGGAACCATCTTTATAGATAACACGTAAATAAATTGCAGCTCCATATGCTGAAAGACTTGCGTCCGAAAACCCCTGCAATTCGAAATCCAAAATGTCGCTTGCGGTGTGTAACCATCTTGGCACGGATATGTTGGGGAGATCCTTCAGTCCGTTTGAAAACCGTTTCCAAACATCAAGTAGATCTGAGCTCAGGGGATCATCCCAAGCCAACCTTTTTAACCATAGCTGTTGCATGATGATTTTAGCCAAGATGACTATAGGACTAATCAAACCTAACGGATCGAACATTTGAGATAGTTGGGACAGGACTTGACGCTTTGTAATAGCAGAATCATCGGGCACCGAGCAAGTTATCTTGAAGGAATCGTCAACAGAATTCCAAGCAACACCCAGAACCTTGCTCAGAGGTTCCCTTAGCGAAACTTCATCTGAATCAACCCTAGTGTCAGCACTAGTATACATCGAGGGCTCATTGAAAAACCATTTGTGCAAATGAAAACCACCTTGTTCTAACATAAGAGTGAGTTCCGTGCGGAGTCTCTTCAAATCATCTTGAGAGTTGGCGCCTGACAAAATATCATCAACATAACATTGATTTAAAGTGGTATCCGAAGCAAGAGGAAAAGAGAGGGCATTGTCTTGAGCTAACTGAACTAAACACCTTGTTGCCAAATATGGTGCCGCTTTTGTCCCATAAGTCACGGTTTGCAATTGAATACACCTCAAATCTTCATCAGGGTTGTCTCTCCACAAGATGTTTTGTAAGTGCAATTGGGCGGGGTTGATTTGTACCTGACGGTACATTTTCTTGATGTCAGTGGTGAGAACGAGAACATACTTAAAAGTGCGGAATCTGCATAGAATATCAACCAGGTCAGGTTGCACTGTGGGGCCCTTCAACATTACATCATTCAGAGACAAGCCGTTCGTGGTCTTCATCGAACCGTCAAACACCACGCGAATTTTAGTGGTTGAGCTTGACTCCTTAATTACACAATGGTGTGGAAGAAAATACGGCATTGGACTAGAAGATGCATTCAAGGAAACATATTTCGCATGATTTAATAGCAGGTATTCGTCGATGA